ATAAGCCACATATACAACTTTAGTCATTGTCTATTTAAGGGTTCCGCCCATAGGTTCCCACTCATTGCCATATCTAAGACCCGCTTGTGAGTTCCCTATTTAAACTCTCTGATTTTCAATATTATTATGCTTACATGTTCCTTAATTTAGGTACTTGGTCCAACCTTCAGGCTACTTTACCTGTGAGATAAATTCTATCAAAGGAGGTAGTTCCTACAGCTATACCTTATCCAGATTTTAATGTGCCAGAGGTGATTTCATATTAGGTAAGGCTAATCCTTTCCACAAACATCGATGACATTTTCCACATTTCTCATTATAGTAGTGCCTGTGCTCTGCTGTACTGGTTTCTTTCTGAGAATTCCTTAAACCAAACGTGTACTTTCACTTGGACTTCTACAGGGCTTCGCATATGATTATAAGCTCCTTTTTAGGTTATAGAATATTCTACCTCCAGCCAAACTCGAACTATCAACCTTGTCTATAGGAGAACAGGAGTTTATCCATTAAGCTATAAGACTTGAACCCCAATAAAATTTGAATTTATATTTTTGTTTAATTATTTATATCTAAAAAAATATAGTTTAAACCTTTTTTACAATATATATTCTTTATTAAATATAGTTCAAATAATAATTACAAGTATAGCAATTTAGTGAAGTAGTCAAATTATTACACCTCCAAGTGGTATGTTGGTAGATTGAAATTTGAAACTTACTGAAGACAAAATTTCAAATATTTAATTTATATGACAGTTATTGTCTTTTGCTGATCAGTTGAAATGAGATCTTTGTAATCTTAATAGCACCAACAAGATTAAAAGATTATAGGATATTTGTATAATATATAAGTTATATAAAGGCATGCAAGCTGTCATTAAATGATACAAACCTAAGATAAGTTTTTGTAATTATATTAATCCAAAAAATCAGAAAGATGGATATCTGCTTGGCAAGACCCAAGTAAAAAGATAGCACAGACCTTTAATGATGGCTACTGAAATAAGCTTTATCTGAGGCTGATTAACTAGATATGATAAGAGCATCTGACAAGTTGCTTTACCAACCAGGCTGCTAATATGAGTATTGACTAGAGGAAAAGAATTAGCAAAACCACAGGACTGATATCTTTCCAAGCTATCTGGATTATACATGCTGACAAAATTATTTTAGGTTTCGAGGTACGAAATTAAAATTTGAAGATGAAATTGTTTTTGACCTATTTTACTTAAAAGACAATTTTTTAATACTTTTTTTGAAGAAACGAAATTATAAAAAACATAACTACCTAAATTAGATTTGCTATTGCATATAAAAAATTCTAAATTACTCTAATGGAAACGAAATAGAGGTTTTTTGAAAACCTATTTCAGAGGCATATATAATCTGGATTAGTAGTCTGGGATAGTGTTCGAAAATGGATTAAAAATCCTGGTTAATCTGGGATTGATCTGAATCTGATCCGAATCTGATCTGAATCTGTAATTCAGATTAAATCTAGGAGTGATCTGTGCCAATCCAACAGTTTGTCATATATATTTGTCACAATATAAGTGATAATTCAAATTTTAACGTGACAATTGCGAATTTATTACTTATATTGTGGCACAAGGTGTGATACATTCGAATTTATTATATAGAGTAATTATATAAAGACATGACCTAAAATTAGGCCCAATCCCACTCAAACTGTGCCCAATCTGACATTTCAGAGGCCAAGCCTAATCCGATGGTTTAGATCTGCACAAATCCAAATCTGATCCATATTGACTTTTTCGAACACTAGTCTAGGAAGACTAGCTAAGGAGTACTGAAAAGAAAATACCAAGTTGTTTTAAAAGAGAAGTACTAGAGTTTGAGTAAATTCTACAAGAACTAAATAGGTTATAGAAGTGGCTTCAGCTCACAAGTACTTGTTCTCAGATTTGGTATAAGTTACTAAAGTAGACTAGGTATTATAGTAATAGTAGATATCAGACTGCTCTAGCAGATGATGCATTCGAAGATGTGCCAGAAATAGTTATCTTATAGGTGGAACAAGACAATCTTAGAACTTGGATTGACTAATGTATTGCATGTTTTGGATAAGGTTAGATCAAATTAATATTGGAAACTCAGATCAGAAGATTTAATTAGATAATCTAAATAATAGGTAGGTTATAGATATGATATTTAGTATAAAACCTAGTAATAGACAGATTACTTAAATTAGGTACTCAAAAGGTGTAGGTATGGCTAGAATATACTTTTGTCAGAATGTACTTGTCTGAAGCTTTCTTGAAAAAAGACATCATATAATTCTACAAATCTAATAAAAGCGATAAGCCAAAGAGACTAACCTTGACTATAAAAAAAAATAATAATAATTACTAAATAAAAAGTTATATATTTATTAAAAAGATTTATTGGTAAAAATTTTAACTTAGTAATACAACTTTCCTCAACAATCATTTAAACTAACTGTTCTTAACCAACTTAAGTTAAAAATTTTGAAATCTGATATCTAAAACTATCTAAATTTCTTTTTTCAATTGCTGTTGACGAAGTCTTTAATATGATATATTGAGAAGTGAATATTAGAGAAGTGGTTTTTAGGTTGGATCAACCCTTTTTTTGTCTTTGATAAATTTTTCCTATATTTAATATCCAAGCAAAAAAGATTAGGATTTATTAAAATACACCTATAGTGTTTTACATCTACATATACATTATCTTAAAAACTGGCTAATTAATTATTATGAGGTGTTCTAAGTAAAAATGTTTTACACCCCCAAAAACCCTTCATAAACCCTAATCCTAACCTTAAGATTAACTTTAATGTGAAAAAAATTTGTATTAAAAATTTTATATATAAAACTTATAAAAACTTGGAAATTTTAAAAAACATAATAAAAACATATAATAGATGCAAAACCACTATAGATGCGTTTTATAATAATTGAAAAGATTATTCTGATAGCAATTTAATAAAAAAGAAACTGTAGATAATAAGAAAAAAAAACAAGAAACAATCTAGAAAGCATTTATTATAACTAAACTTTGCAAAACCTTTATATTCCCTCGCTACTCTTTTTTTTCAAAATTTTTGACAAAAAGTGAAGGATTTGACTATCCTCTCCAAAAGATCAGCAAGAAATTGACATTGTTTACCACTTCCATTCTCAGAAAGTCTTGAGTTATGATATAACAAATAAGGAAAACAACAAAATACATATAAAGAAGAAATTTTGAGACTGAAATTAAAACTAATAATTATATATTAAGACTTTAAAGTCAAATGTTTTAAGATCTAAGTTGGATTTTATATAAGAGTTATAACTAGAACACTATATAAGATATGCAATATTCCGAACTCATATATATATAATTTTTAACCTTTGACACAGATTAAAGTGCACCTTAGTTTGTTTTTATGTCAGATAGCTCTATATATAGATTTCTATAACTATGTAAATAGTTTTTTACCTGGTTAACAGGTTTTTATATTTATAAACAAATTCTCTTGGATTTTAGATTAGTCTTGTAACTCCTTTATAATTTGATCATTTTCTTTGTATGTTTATTTTTTTTGCTTATCATTTTCTTATTCTACATTTACCCCTTTCTTTTTTCTTTTTTACTTCTCTATGAAAAAATGTTATCAGATTGGCAGCACTCTATCATAAAGCAGTGATTCTGACAAGAGCAGTAAAAACCATCCATTGATACTGAGGTTCAAATCCTCAAAAAGTTGAAGATCCTGGTGGAGAAAAATATTCACTTAGGCGAGTCGCTTCTGAGTCATACTCTAGTGCTTAATCCTGGTTCGCTAGGATTATATTGTAATAATGAGACAGATTGAGAGATTCTTTATTTGGACAGGCATAAAACAGTTTATGACAGATAACATAGGTTTAGCTAACTAAAATATATATCTATTTGTAACCTGTTGCCAATTTATAAAATAAAGGAAGGATGATCGCTGAAGTAAAAAAAAAAAAAAAAAAAAAAAACTTTAACTTGGTTACAATACCCCCATCCCCCATTTACTTTAAGACATACCGTATTTCGCGGTCTAAACAACCCTCTACTATAAAAAACTTTTTGAACGCTGCCAAAAAAAAGATAACTTGGTTTTTTAAATATTTTATTGATTATTTATCTGATTTAGCCCTTCTAATTAACGCATATCGGGCTTTCAATTATATAAATTGGTATTGTATTGTTGTATTGGTGTAGTGATTAATTAAAGCCCGATGCGTCACCGATCAGAAGAGATAAATCAAATAAATAATCAATAATATACTTAAAAAACCAAGGTTCCCCTTTCCCTTGGCAGCACTTATATGCAATCTTGCTTACTACTTGTTAATGTAACAATTGTTTCTATTGAGACATTACAAAGCATGGAGTTACTTGTCCGAGATGCATCGCCGGGTGGTTTAGACCGCAAATTTATACATTTATATAATTTTTACTATAATTCAATACTTATGTTTTGCATATTGCCTAGAATATACACTATATTTATGGAGATCAAAAACATAATTTACTAATTTATATTGCAGAGTGTCGTGTTTTTGAACATATTTGTTAAACCAATTACTGTGCCGTGTACAAAAAAATAAGTAGTGTTGGTATTTGAACTATTCCCATATTTTTTTGACAGTCAAAATACTACATATCATTAAAGACTACCATATCCGTATATTAGCCATATTATCTTCAATTAGTCCAAATACCAATGCTGAAAATAAGAGTTTCATACAGCGCAGTGTCTGATAAAAAACTTAATTGCTAAATTTGACCTTAAGCAGATATTTTTGGAAAATCTGGCTTGCGTCATATACAATATACTCGTTATAGTACAAAAATTTGCTAGTATCTGCAGGCATTCCTTTTCCACAGGGAACCATAGTTCCGTTTTCTAAATAAACAGCTTCTTTTGGATCAGGAACGATTTGGCCCAGGCCTTTAGTACAATGTTTACCTTGCTTTTTAACCTTTTCACCAGCATCATAATCACTACTTACAAGCTCCAACATATCACCACATGCAACTTCACATAACAACATAAATCCAATCTTATCACCATAGTGCGCGTAACAATAATTCGCAGATTTAGACACACAATCAGCAAAATAAACACCCTTTCCAAACATGTATCCACTGACAGGAACGTGCGGCGGTGCAATTCTCAGCCCCTGACTTAGAATGCCCACAAAATTTGTACGTCTAGAACCATGCCATAATAACATCCTATTATGAAGTTTTGAGTGCGTCTTGTATCGCTCCATTTCACCTTGGCGTTCAATATCAAACACGTCAAGAATTTCTAATTTAGTGTGATGCGTAGCACCTTGCGTGTTCTTTAAATATTTAAGTATGAGTTTGAACTCTTCAGAATCATGATCAAGTGGTACCATTCTTTCTAAACCAAGTAAATCATAGTTTGCGTCTAATGGATTCTTGGTTATATCCGCATTCTTAATTAATGAACTAGCGATTTCAATTTCACCTAAAGCTTCTACCATTGCCATTTTTGTTTTAAGAACCGTAATATTATTGATGATTGGTGGTTTATTAAAACCAAAATTATGAGGAATAACGGTATAAAAGTCGTTTGAAAGCTCAACAAGGTCACCATCCTCTTTGTTAGTCAATACAGCCTCAATACTTTTAAGAATTTCATAACCTCGAGTAATCGTACTTTTGGAAAGTTTACCCAATGGTAATTTAGACGCGTCATAATTTAACTCAACCATGGTATCATTCCATAGGTTAACATCAAAAATCATTTGAATTATGCCCCGGACCTTGGGATGAAGTTTTGATTCAGGGATGGGAGGTGGTGGCACATCAGCATTATTTTTAGTTGAGGCATCAACCGCGTCATCTCCATAGTCACGTTCTAATAAGGTGTATTTTCCTTTCACAGCTTTAAAATTTGATTGATCTTGGCAAACATCCATCCACCTATTTTTAGTTTTATCACGAAATTTCTTTTCGAACTCGGATTTAGCCATATCTAAAGAAGTCCATGGGCCTAACATGGCATGTTGACCATCATATCCAACTCTACCCCATCTTGAATAAACATAGTAGCTGCCACCAGAATCAGATTCCAAGAGTTGAATAATAAAAAATTTATTATTGTTGGCGCCTGCATTCGTTTGATTGAGAAGACAATCCCAAGTAGCTTGACTATTAGAGAATACATGATACGAATCCTTCATTTGAAATAATTCATCGACAGGTGCTTTGCCTTTCTTAATGATCTTGACCATTTTTTTTTCTTCAACGACTTGAGTAACATCACCTACTTGGTCATTAACGGTGATAGTTGTAACTGAATTAACTGAAGTAACTAAATTAACTGAATCACAAGTAGTTGAACTTTTGGCAGCACGTCTTTTTTTACGTGAAGGAGTAACATCTTCAGATTCAGGAGTATTATCAATTTTGTGTTTCCCAGGATTGATGGTCGCGTCATTCATATCTATTTCATCGCTGGGAGCTTCAGAAGGGACATAATCCAATTCATTTTTTTTACATTTTTCGTTGATAGAGGCTTGAACCCAATCCCAAGTTACAATGGATACATCATTTTTATTCTTTGCAGCCAAAACTTTTGAACTATTCTTTCGATAGTCTTCGTCTGTGACTACCAGGTGGGTAATTTTTTTGGTGAAATTTGAGGAAACAGTTGCACCATGTTCTTTTACGGTGGCAGAGAGTTTTGCGTGGTTA